AGTCTAGTAATGTAAATTCTATTTAAATTGAGACCATTGAGTGAAACTATTTAATACTTTGGCTAGTAATAATTAACCTTTACAGATGTTTATATTATTATTATTATTATTATTTCTATTGTTTCCATTCATTCATTTTTTCTATAAAAGACCTGATGAGGATGCTAGAGGCATCGAAACGTTGTCCAAATAAATAAACAACATAATACCGTCTAAAAATTTACTTAATCAACAACAAATTAATTATTTAGTTCAAATATACAACATTTATTTGCATCAAAACAAAACAGTTTTGGATTTTAATAAATCTCAATTTATGTTAAATAAAAATGAATGAATATTTTATAATTATAAAAATAAGAAAAATTCAAATTTTTTACTATCGATTCTACCTTTTAAGGGACTCAAGCTTATAGAAGTATTAGGCACTATATTTTTACAATTAAATTAAAATCTGAAACCTAAGGGGATCGAAACCCAGTCGCACCTATACCTAACTTAAGACCTATATAATCGAAGTGCGTTAACAAGTAATTTATTTGATCCAAATATTGTTTATTTGTTTCTATTAAATAATTTATATTTTCATTGAATAATGCATTAAATGAATTAAATAATTTATTTTACTTGAAGCGATAAAAGAAATTAATTGTGTCAAATAATGTTTATTTAAATGAAATATCCTAGTTTATTGAAATAAATAAATTAATTGTTTCAAGTAATTCATTATTTGTATTAAATAAAAAAATTTTTAGAGTCTATTAATTATTTAATTATGACCCAATTAAGATTTATTTAATTCATAATTAAATGTGATTCAAATAATTCAAGTTATTTGAAGCAAATTAATATTTATTTAGATTTGAATAAATTTAAAAAATTTATTTCAATTTCTAAGTAGTATATTAGTAGGTGCACCCGTACGCTATCAGAGAATCAAAATTTTGAGTAAAAGAAATTAAAAATTTATTATTTCCCATTTTTCTAATTTCTGTCATTTGGAAATCACCCTGAGTTGTAGTCAAGCCCTGTAGGATCCTGAAGGATATACAAAATTTTATGATTTATTATTTATTTGTTATTATTTATTTATTATTTATTATTTATATATTTATTTTTTTTTATTTTTTATTTATTTATTTATTTTTTTTTATTTATTTATTTTTTTTTATTTTATTTATTTATTTTTTTTTTATTTTTTTAAAAATTTTTATGTACTAGTACCTCCATCCGTACGCTATCAGACAATTAAAAATTTGGGAAAAAGACATTAAAAATTTATTTTTTCCAATTTTTCTAATTTCTATCAACTGAAAATCACATGAATTGTAGTAGGGATCAAGCCTTACAGGATCGTGAAGAATAGAAAAATTTATTTCAATTTTTTAAGTAGTAATTCGCTCACAATGTAATCGGGGATTTATTAAAAAAAAAATTCGATGTATTATTTAATGAGAAAAATAATTGTCAAAAAAGTTGATTTTAATAATAAGTCTAATTGGCTTATCAATAAACATTTCAAAATATAAGTTTTCTCTAAAACAAAAAAACTGTTCTTCTATTTCAGGTTCAAAATAATCAGGAAGTATTGCCACAAGCAAATGTAAAAAGAAACGAAATGAATAATCACTTTTGGATTATTTACCTTATTGGAAATACCCTTCGTGGACCACAACACCCAACAAAAGATGCATTGAGGTCTAATATTAAACACTGATGAATGGTGGATTATTGAATTACTTTTGCGGACATTTTTACCCCCACAGCACCGAAAATTTCCTAAAAATTTATTAAATATATTTACTTGCAATATTCGGCATATTTAACTGAAAAGTTTAGTTTATTTATTTATTTATTTAATCGGGACATTTAAATCTTTACACAACTTTCAATATAAACATTGCAATTACATATTCCGAACATTGCAAGTAAATATTTAATAAATTTTTAGGAAAGTTTCGGTGCTGTGGGGGTAGATAATTAGATAAGCAAAAAATATAAGTAAGGTAAGAGCTTACATTTATTGGTATTAAAGGTAAAATCACTGTTATTGACACTAGTTCTAATAGTTTGCGAGCTATAAATATAAACGTCAGAGAAATTCCAGTCAATCCCTATAAAAAGTTGACTAATTAAAAAAGGTTGTTGTAACCTTAAAATGATTGGTTTTTGCAATCTTGACATAAAAGTGTGCTACAAGGTTGCAATGAATGAATGACAACTCGCTTTTTAATTATTTTATAATTTTTTGTGTTAAGGGATTTATGAACATGTTTCTTTTGTACAGTCATAAAACAATTGCATTCCACATAGAATCGCCAACTGAAAATATATTTGAAATGAATATTTTTGATTTTTCTGGTAAATAAACCAGAAAAGCTTTCAACAAACTTATTGCAGGGAAATTTTCTTAAAGTTGACTTAGTTGATTGTTTTAGAAGAATCGTAAGTTACATAATACATATGAACAAAGCCAGCCTAATATTTATTTTTATAAACAAAATTACTAAAAGCAATGAGTAAGAGATAGTAATAGGGGAAACTTACTGAACGAGCAAGTCACTCGTATATTAATCCATGATTGCCAAAGATAAACAAAATTACTCATAATAAATGTTGCTTCATTATTTGACAAACATTATTAATATCTTTATTTTACGACCCTAGGGTTAACAACCTTAGTAGTAATGAGTTATTGAACTCATTCTGGTGTTAAGAAAGAAATGCCATAATTTTCGGTGCAACAATTGACATATTCGAGTTAATTCCAGGAATACTAGATTTTAAAAAATTGATTAATTAATTTATTTATTGGACCCAATTTTTACCCAATTATATCTCTCACCGGACTTTGAAGAGTTCTATTAAATTTTTCGTTCGCCTCTTGTGGTATTAACATTACGCGTGTCTATCACTAGGGTTCAACGCGCAGACGGGCAAAAATACTTAATTTTTTATCACCTGTAACAATATAACATTCAACAATCATTAATTTATATTTATCTAGTATTTTTAATACATAAGATTAGATTGCACACAATTTAAACTGACTGTGTCAAACTTACAAACCTTATAGTTATCTTTTTATTGCAAAGAGACTTAAAAGTTTTCGTGAAATTGAAATTTAACTTATAAAATCTTTTAGGTATCATTTAATGATATTTAATTTCCATTGAAAACATTTAGAAATTATTAATAGGATAATCTAATTTCAAATAAAATGAGCAAACATTACTCTTTGTCATCGATTTTTTTATTGAATGATTTTTGGTGAAAAAGGCCCACTTTATGATTGTAATCTTTAATTATCACTAAATGATTATCTGCTACCTTGCAGATTTATTGGTAATATCATCATCTAAGTACTGTGACTTTATAATGCAATCACATTTAACATTGAGCAATATTCTTGAGTAATTTGTATTTACTCTATAAAGAATATTTGACTCAATTAATAATATTCTGAAGTTTCTTGATTCTATTTATATCTTAGTCCTTTTTACAATTTAACATCATTTCATTTCTTTTAAATCTTAACAAAAAAATTTTTTCTTTTTTAAATTTTGTGGGATCGTTTATCTACTTTTAGAAGTTCTCTATCAATTTTCATATTAATTTATTTATATTTTTCATATTTGAGGGAGAAATTTAAAAAAATAATTCTGTTTTATTATATGTAAAATCAAAGTTCTTAAATTCAACCCTTTCAAAATAAAGAGAGAAAATCCCACCGCTGCCACCAGTTGTTAAAAATAAAATTAGTAATAAAATAAAAATACAGAATTTAATTTTTATTATTTAAATTTTATCTTCTTAGTAACGTATATATACACAATTATTATTTCAATAGTGTTAAAGATGAATTTGATTTATTTAATTAATAAAAATCTTTATTTTTAATAAAATTCAACTTTAACTGTATATTAAAGTGCTTCAATAAGTTAAATAGAACAAAACTAAATTCGGGTCCTCGGTACCGAGTGGGACCGCCTTGGCTTTTTAATATATATTAAAAGAGTTCAATTTGTTTATTTCAATAATGATGTATTTCGAAATATTAGTAATTATACAATAAGAATATTGAAGTTACTTTTTTAAAATTAAAATGTTAACTTCCTATTAATATTGATAACTTTCATTTGTTATGACTTCCATTTTAAAAGGAAAGTTGTCTTAACTTACATTAATATTTTATTAGCTATTAAAATAAAACAATAATAACGAAAATTTTTTATCCCATATTTTATTCAAGTTTTTGTTTACACTAAAGGAAATAAGTATACTTTTTTCCCGAAGATTACAAATTATTTAATAATCCATCCGGTTAGTGGAGAACAGTACCATTTCATAAAATAGTTGAAAAAGATACCATTTCGTGTTATGATAATAATAAAGGTACCAATTCGAGAAAAACTTATAAAAGTACCGTCTTGGATGATATTTGTATGTAAAAAGCATCCAAGATGGTATATTTTACAAGTTTTGAAAATTATTTTTTGTCCTACCTGCACGAAAAGTATGTCATTTCGGGCACTTAAGGCGGGCGCAAAGTTTTGCGCCCGCTTGTATGACGTTAGCGGGCGGTAAAGTATTTTCCGCCCGCTTCCCCTACCTCCGAGCGGGCGGAAAAGTATTTTGCGCCCGCTTGTTAATTATTCGATTTTCTTCATTAAAATGCGACATTTTCGACTTTCTTTTTAAGTTGACTATAGAACTGCAAATATTTTCAACTTGTTTTATTTTACCTTTAAAAATTTGCAATTTTTTTTTATTTTCTCTAAAAAAAATTATGAGACATTTGGTTTTGTTCCCATTTCGTTTATCAAAATTGTCAATTTTAAAAGTTCTTGTTTCAGTTTTGTTTAATTATTAATTACTACGTTCTAAATAAATACTATGTTTCCAAAATACATTATTTTTTTATTTCTATTTTAAAACTTCTATCATTATAGACTTCATTCGATATAATGTTTATATAGAGCTTAATTTTTAACTAATATGAGCGTTTAATCGTGCGTGCTCTCAATGCCATACTTTCCATGCAGTTAGGACAAAAAATTATGTTCGCATCATGGGCGCAAAGGTGATTACGACTTTGGCGAAATCACCTATTTTGCGCCCTTGTTACAAAAGAAACTATTGTTTCACGAAATTTACGCTGAATTTACACAATGGATTTTGAAGGACTTAATATACTTAAGCAGACAGATCTGAACTTAAAACTGATCTTAAATTAAGATTTACTTTTGGATTATTCTATGGAAGTACTGTAATTACTTCAAGAGATTTTTTTTCTTCTGAAACTTTTCTTGTAAGATTTGTACACTCATCAATATATTGTAAATGATTTTTAAAATCTTTATAACTTTTTTCAGCAATCTCATTCTCATGCATTGTAATTATAGTACCATAATTTTCATACTTAGAAAGTGCTGTTTTCAGTTTAACAATAAATGTCTTGTAATGTCGAATTGCTTGAATTGGTTCCTGTGTACAATAAAGAATGAACTCAAATTTATCGTTAAAGTTATTCAGAGTATTATAATAGACTTGTCTAAGATTCAAGTATACATCATGAGACGATAAATTATTATTCTGGAACAATTAATAAAATGTCAATATATTATTTTTAATTATTTATATACAGATTATAAGTATTTTCATATGCAACGATTATGTAATTGCATAACAATAATGCAGCGATGGCTAACTTCCCCCCCCATGCTTTTTAGTTTTGGACTTAAATTACCAATAAAAAGTGCAAGGTAATATTATTTGACGCACAACACGGAATGAACCTTTAATTGTTTTTTCAATAGATGCAATTCGATAGCTTCTTATTCAGTGAAACAATTATGTACGTAGGACAACTTGGATTAATTCAAAATCATAAAATTTAAAATTCAGTTTTTTAAAAATTCTACATAGAAATACGTTTAAATAATAGTATTCTAACAAAAACACTTTTATGAGTTTTTCATGCGCTGCAATAAAATAATAATTTATTTTTATAAATTTGTATATACATACCATTGTTTCCGAATTGATTCTTCGTTGAAAATCATTTATTTCCTTTTCACTTTGTGAAGGACGAAAATTTTTTAAGATCCAATTATATCTGGAAATTTCCTCATTCTTATTTAATAAAAATGCCCTTATCACATTAATTTTTATGTTTTCATCGATTTTAAATGTTTTATTTTTAGTTCTACAGACTTCAAATTGTTTCACGTCTTCTCTTAAATTCATTAAACAATTTACAATTATTCTATCTATATTCTCAAGTCGTTTGTCATCAGGGGTAGTAGATTGATTATACAATGATACTATATATTTTATTTCGTCATTGTAAGTATTCATACTTCTGTCGAAAGAAATATTACCAGAACAATTGCCAATTAAATATCTGTTGCTATGTAATTCATTTACAAATAAGTTGTAATTATAATTTATCGATTTTTTTATTTCTGTTAACTCCTGCTGATATTCCTACAATTTCATTAAAAAGTTTTAATTATTTTCTAATTAGGTATTCGGAATTCATAAGAGTAATTTCATTAGAAATCGACAAAAGTCGATCCCGACTGTTATAAACGATATAAATTAGGAATTTATAATATTGAGTCTTTCTCTGACAGAAAAGCCACCTTAAAAAAGTTTTTTTTGGTAATGAAATATGTTAAAGTATGTACATAAAAACAAGTATGTATAGTAGTTGCCATGTCATCAGTGGCTCAACTTTATGGTGAAAATTATTAAATTGAATGTGATTGTTAAAAAGAAAATAAATTTAACAAAAGAAACTTTCTTACCCCGCTCGCAACAGCAAATGCCATCAGGAAAAAAGGTACATTAACATTGAATACAATAATATGCATTAAATTATTCATTTTCAAATTTGTTATTTTTCACTTTTACCTAATGAAAAATATTCAAATATTTTTATGTAAAACTTTGTATATTATTTATTTTAACTTCTTAACGTTCTCTCGGTTCTCGTGTTTTTGTTTAAGTAGATCTATAAAAAAAATGTTTACATCAAGTAGATAAATCGTGCATGGAAATCGTGAGTGATAATAATTTTATTGTCTTCTTGTATTTCGTATTTTTTTTAATCAAAATATTGTTTCTCTTGAAATTATTATTTATCATTAAAACGTAGTAATTATCTTCTAATTAATTTTTACTAAAATTATATCAAATGATGAGCTTTTATTAATTGAGCACCTGCAAATTTAGAGTTATTGGATCCGAGTTCAGTGGCTTAGATGCACCACTCTTAATGTTGAGCTATTTTGGCTTCGCTACAACTAAAATATTCTAAAATAGGACAATTTTCTTCAAAAACTTATTGTTAAATGTAATTATGTTTTGCTATTATGATTGATTAAAGTTTGTAAATGTTAAAGGTGTGCCAATTTTTTTAAAGAGAACTGTAACTCTTTGTTTAAGTTAAAATTGTTTTTTCGCGCAATTGTTATCAGAATCCCAGTGGGCACACTTGATCAAAAAAAAAATGTTTTATGTCTTGACCCTTAAATTTAAAATGCTATACAGATATAATAAATTTTTAAAAATTACTTCGAGCCGTATTGCATAAATCAACTATATTTTTAATTATATTATTGTGTTTGAATTTTGTAATAATGTGGCTTGTAGTAACAATTTACAAATTTTATTTAATAAATACATTCCAAATCAAAGGTTTTTTAAAGTCTTGTCTGAATGGGGAAGGAGAGTAGCCTATAAACGGCCCCTTCTTTGGATGGTCAAGCACCTGTTATTCAAAAGGTCATATTTAATAACAAACTGAAAGGTCAAATTTTTGAAAAATTTGGTTATTTTAGTAACAGTAATTAACAAATTTTAACGACTGAAATTCCAGTAGCGTTCTTGGTTGGAGAGTCAATGCTACACGAAATCGAATTTTTAGTTACTTATAGGCTCAACTGAATAATAGGCATTGATATATGAATGAAGAAGGAGAGTAGCCTATAAACGGCCCCTTCTATGATTGTAGAAATTGAAAATTCTTTGAGGAGGTTTTATTTCTTAATAGGATTGAGAAAAATGCTACAAGTTTGTAATTTCTTTAATTATATAATTTATTAAAAATTTTTGAAAGTTTATAAAAACGGGGTAGATGTTAGGATAACAAAAAAATTTTTCCTTCAGTATAGCCGAAGTTATTTTTAAAAATATAGTTCCGGTATAAAAAGAGAAACATGTCACTCAGATCAGGTGAAGATCTATATACAAAAATGTAAGAACAAAAGGAAAAAGTAAAGAAACATTATGTGATGATTGAATTTCAAGATATTAATTGAAGATCAAGTTTTCAAATAAGCTGATAAATCCACTTTTCAAAAAAAAATTAGCATACATTTAATATTTGAAAGCCCTCACTAATCGATCTATCTCTGTTGAATTTAATAGCAAGACTATATTAACAGAATTATCAAATTAAAAAACCTTTGGAAATAACTAAAATGATTGATAAATTTAATGTTTTTAAAATAAGAAAGTTTAATTAATTTGTGTAAAAATTTTTTATCATTTATTTTAATAATATTCTACTTTAGAAATGTTAAACTTAAATTAGTTTTAATATTTAAAATACAGGATCACCGCTGTTAAATACCTAATAGATTTTGTTATTAAAACAATGAATTTCAATCCCGTTTAGCGGAGGTCAATATTTACAATTTCAAAAATCCTGGATAAAATTTATAATCACTTTAAAATACATTAACTTACTCTATATTTGTAAAGCTCAATTATTAGCAAATTCAGTTAATTTAAGGTTATTTTAAAGATTGTTTAGGAAATTCCAATACAACAAATCAATAAGAGACTAATAGAGTTAATTTAGAAAACTCTACACAATCACCCTGTGGTAAACGTTAAATGCTCTAAGGAAACAAATAAATCATTTAAAATTAGTGGATTCTAATTAATTATTGATTACAAATTTCCTGGCGTTCCGCAATTGCGTTGATGCCTCCACGAGGATCTTACTAACACAGCAAAAGTCGTATTGCCAATTTGGAAAATTCTTTCTTAGCCTCTACTCCTTGCTTCTAAATCTGGGGAAAGATTTTGGGTTAGAAGAGGTGGTTGTGATGGTAGAAGTAGAGTGAGATTTTTGGGCCCATTGGTCGATGCAATTTTTGCTGATTTGGAGATCTCACGCTCGGCGTGAGAACGGAAAATTGTCTACAAAATTTGATACTTTTCGGGAATTATTGTTTTAAATAATTCCAATCATAGACCATAATTTTGGCAAGAGATGGATCTCCCTATTTTGATCGCTTCAACGAAATAATTCTAAAAGCAAACATGCCTTCCTAGTTTGAACGTGTCACATTCATATGTTTCCATGAAAACATATTAGTGCAACACGTTTAAACTAAGAAGGCATCTTTGCACCCTACCGTACACGGAAGAAATTTGTTCAGGAAAAGTTTCCAAACTGTACCTGAACGGTGGACATGAGAAAAAGTTGAGGTCTAATCTTTCATTGCACTAAAAAAAATTCCCGAACTTTTTAGGAATCTGCCGTGTACAACAATAGAAATTATTGAAGTTCATGGCAGATTTTTGTAAAGTTCGTGAATTTCTTTAGTGTAATGCAAGATTAGACCTCAACTTTTTCTCATATCCACCTTTCAGGTATACTGTTCGGGAACTTTCCCTAAACAAATTTTTTCCGTGTAAGGTCTGGAGCGACTATTAAAAACCTTGTCTAAGTAGAAGTGTGTTGTAAAGACATTATTTCCTTAAAATTTAGGAATTTAAATCTATTGCCCTTTTTTAAAAATATAAAGTGATAGCTTAAGAGTCATTGACTAAATGTGGGGAATTTTGTTTAAAAAATCATAAAACTGTATTTTGTATCTATTAAACTGTTTTCAAATAAAGAAAAAACCTTTTTTGATGAAGCTGTATAGTGCTCTTGTGTTTTTTTAGGCATATTACATTCAAAGGAATGTTAAATTCAGTTAAATCTATTATTTATAGAGAATTAGATTTCTGTCTAGTTGAAGCACATTAGATTATAATATTCAAAAAGTAGAATGCCCCTCTTTTATTATGCTGACGTCCCTTGTCAGCTGCTATGAATATGTGTTGTTTATTGTGGTCCAGTTTTTTATCCTTGGCATATAGTGGTGTTGATTAACTCTTTCGAGTTTTACAAAATTGTGTCCTTGTTATCTTGCTTAACAAAAGTTTATCTTGGAGAGTAATTAACTTAATCTATCTTCAAAACTAGCCTAACGATTTTTAATATATTTTCATTTAAAAGATATGTTCAAAAGGAAATGCTATTTAACATGGCGTATGCCTAAAATCTTTGATTAAAGTGTTTTTAAAAAATGTTTTTGTTTTATCTTTGATAAAGATGGTTATGCAGATCATGGTATTTTTACTTATTTCAAGTAGGAATTTTTTCCCCTGAATAATCTTGAATTTCTGTTGCTATATCTTTCCTCGATTGCTTCAACTCCTTCTATTAACTCAGACTATTGGTCCTGGGAGAACCCAGTGACAATTGAGCTCTTTCGAGGAAACATAAGTTTCAAAGGTTTTATACTCACTACTCGGTAATTTTGTCTATTCGTCACTTTAATCCAATTTCTGTTTCTTTAACCTTTATAAATATTTCCGTATACAAATTATTCTCGAAGATTCAGGAAATACCTAATCTAGGTTCACTAGATTGATATTTCACTATGAACTTTAATATTCCTTCTAATTGCACAAAATTCAAGACTCCCCGTAAATAAAGATTGGCTTTAAAAATATATTCAAATTAATATTCTTTTATAGAATTTATTTTATTTTAGCTGATACTAAATTCTTTCACTTAAACTTTTTAATTCTTTTATTTTATATATTTCTCTCACAAAATCTTTATATTTACTTTTATTCACTTTACTTTCAATATTTTCTTTTAATTCTTTTATTTTATATTTCTTTCACAAATTCTTTATATTCATTTTTATTCACTTTTTCCAACAAACTTTCATTTAACCCTTATTACTTCTAAAAAAATCCCTTGCTCAGGGATGCAAACTTTAATTCTGATCTTCACGATCACTACAACCAATTGCCGGACTTGAACTTCAGGCTACAATGGCCTGGACTAAACTGCGGGCCTAAACTGCCGGCTACAACGGCCTGGCTTAAACTGCCCAGATTTTCCAGTGTCAATCAATTTTATTGAAAGACGATCAAGTGGGGAAATCGTATGTTAAATTTATTGCACCGGACTGTTGTCAAGACAATTCTGCAAGCTTGCAGTTTTAGTCAGTGGCGTGATCCGAGTTCAGTGACTTGGATGCATCACTCCTTATATTAAGCAATTTGCTTTTATATTTTCTAATTATTTCTCAAAAGGGTCAACAAAATGTTTGTTAAAGAAAAGGAATTTATTGTGAAATTACAAAGGTTTGTTTTTGTGTAAATGTTTAAGATGTGTTTACAAAATCGTATGATGTATGTAATTTTAGTTCTTTTAGTATTATAAATTAATTGTTTACAATTTAAAAGTTACGCAGTTCGGCCGTAACAAATGCCCCCCTTTTATTATGCTGACGTCCCTTGCAGTCAGCATTCATCAGCTTGTTACGAACAAAAATAATTAAAATGTTGAACGGAAAATTATTTTAAATTCAATATTCTAATAAAAAGGAAATTTAATGTGTTGAGCGATGAAAATAATTCTACCGCGCGCCTGCGGAGGTTCGTTGGAGGAAATCAAGCTGCCAGGACCGGATGACCCTACTGTTTTTATTTGTAGGTCCGTTTTCTCTTTTAAAAGAGTCTGCCAAGCAACACCTTTTGAATTTTAGTTTTAATCATTAAAAGGAAAATTAGTAATTAATAAGACAAGAATTAAATTTAAAACAATTAAGTTTATTTTTAAAATTGAGAAAAGTTACAGTAAAGAAAGATTTAACAGAATATTGAAGAGGAACGATACGAATTTTCTTTGACTCACCCTTCTCTCTTCTAAGTTTTAATTCTAATAC